TGCTCCCTCCCTGGGTCTGTGAAGCCCCAAAGCAAGGCTGTCTTCTCCATTTCCTCCCGGCTTCACCAGCTCCCTGGGCTGTTTCTGCGCAAGGCCCAGCCCAGGGCAGGTATGGGATAAATGTCTGCAGAATCAATAAATTCCTGAAGGCCAGCGAGAAGGAGGTGTGAGGAGAAATCCACGGCAATCCTACCTTCCTCCACAAGGAACCACTTGATGGAGCCTGTGTCCCCTGTGGGTGGAAGAAGCAGAGAAGACAAAGGGATTCCAGAAGGTGGGAGGAGGGGTCGCCTACACAATTGGAAAATTTTCACACAAAAGTCCAGATTTCAAGCTATTTTTAAAATATCTGAAGATCTGGCAACCCGGAGCCTGCATATCCCCATGGCAACACCAGCTGGCGCTGAGAGGCCCCTGCCCCCTTCAGACTGGACCTGTGCTCTGCGGTTCTCTGCAGACCCGCCACCTGCTGTTGCGACATCTGGCCCACCCTACTCATCACATCACCTGCTTCCCTGGGCTTTGAGGTCTACCCCCTGGGCTTAAGAGAGTTGATGAGCAGAAAACCGTGCTGAGGACAGAGGGACTGTGGCATCTGTCCCATCAGCCTGCAGCTAAGGAGCGGCAGCCCGGGTTCCCCCCCACTTCGAGTTCTTAGGGCAGTTTTCCAGTGTGCGGGGGCTTCCAGATCCACATAAATCTGTTCCCTGTGCTGGGCTCCTGAGGGTGGTGAGGGGGCCAAAACAGCCACGCCATGTTGAGGAAAGACGTGCAATTCGCGATACAAACCAGAAGGGGGCGACTCTCCCTGCCATTCCTTCAGAGAGCCATTTCTAGCCTTGCTCAGCTGCAAGGTCCCAGTTGCAGGACCACAGTCCCTCTGTCCTTCTGGGCCGAGGAAGTGTCCTGTGTCCCTGCCCTGTGCCACTTGCCATGACAGCTGAGGCACAGCCTGCCTGGTAACGTGATGGGCTCCTGCAGGTTCGGCTGGACCACAGCATATTCCAGGTGCCCAGAGAGGTACCAAGAGGTCCAGCCTCCTCAAAGTCCATCCAGCCAGTACCCTAGGGACCAAAGGGTACCCTCCTGCCTTCTTCCAGCAGCCTTTTCTTCCTCCTCTTTTTCCAGGAGCGCTCAGCCTTTCTGAGGCCTCTTCCCTGGGACCAGACCCTCAGATTAAATACTATGTGCTTGGCTCTCTGCTCAGGCTTTACGTACTTTATATATAAAATCTCCACCATCCTATATGCCCATTTTTACTGGTAAAATTGAGACTTAAAAGGAAGTTATCACCAGCCTAAGGCTAGCTCGTGGAAGGGGAGTCAAGGTTCACACCAGCTCTGTGGAATCCCCTTCCCTGAATGACCTGGTTCCTATGAAGGCAATTTTAGAATCAGCCCATGGAGAGGAGGGAGGGATTTGACTTTGAGGGCAGAGGACTCCTCTTACCCGGATCCAGCCTGAAGCCTCCCCACACAGGCCACCTATACTGTTGGAGCTGCCCAAGGACTGGGGCTGAGTCTGTGGTCTCTAATAAGGCCGTGATTGATTCCAGAGCTGAGAGGCGCCCGCTCAGCTACCAGGGACGAATCGCTCCTGGCCCTTTGGAATTTACTGAATGCTTCACCATCCCCACCTGGGGCCATTCTGAACAGCAGGACAGGCGTCACAGGTATACAGCGCCTGCCTTGAACCCTTGAGGAAGTGGAGAGCAGGCAGGTAGCAGCAGGCCACCTGCCAGGTGGAATCCTCCTAAGGAGTGAGAGTCCCAGTCTCTGCCCAGTGAACTTGGACACCACTGAGTGTGACCCAGTCAATTCCTGGTGCCTCATTTGTCTCACACACCTTAGGAGCTTTCCCTCTTCTATTCCCAGGGGACAGAGAAGTCCAGTAAATCATGACCTCTCAGGCTGTCACAGAGATGCCCAGCCCCTGAGACCAAGGCCACCAAGCTGCGAGAGAGGAGAGATTCTACCCAAACTAATTCATCCATCTTGTCTCCCGTTTCCCCAGCCCATCCTATACTCACATTCTTCTCCAATTCTACCTGTTGACCCCAGTCCACCCACTGTCATCAAAGGCTGGTGTCAAAGACACTTTCTCCAGACTACTCCAATCCAGTTTCTCAAAGCCGGGCATTCCTGTGGTGTTGAAGTCAGTCTCTGTGTGCTCCTTTGCTTCTGGGTTGCTCTCAGCACTAACAACCAGACCAGAGGGAGGGAGGGCAGGCATCATAGCTGCCAGCACAGAGCCTCATGATCTACATTGGATGGAAAGGAAGAGATGGATGGATAGAAGAATAAGTGGTAGAAGAGTAGATGGCCAAGGCTGGGGCTGGGGCTCAGCAGTAGAGCACTTGCCTCGCATATGTGAGGCACTAGTTCAATTCTCAGCACCACATATAAATAAATAAGTAAAGTCCCCATCGACAACTAAAAAAATATTTTTTTAAAAAAGAGAGAGAGAAGATGGCCCACCGAAAGTTCAGTGAGGCTTCCTGCTTCCCCACTGCTCCTGGGGAACAAGATTCCTCTGCCTCCAAGATTTTAAGACTTAGAAAGGCTGTCTACTGTGGAGGTGCCAAGGCCACTGGGAATCAGACCTGTGCCCATTCTCAATGGACCTCAATCTCCCATGGGGAAGATGAGGACATTGGCCTCGATGATTTCTTGGACCCTTCCAGCTCAAAACTCACATCCCTCTTGGGATCTGGCAGAAACCAGGGGAAACTGCCTGGACCTAGCTCAGCTTAAAGGAGATCCTGGAAGAGTTTAGACAAAGATGAAAAGAAAAAGAAAGAAAGGTAGAGGAAGAGAGAGAGGGAGAAAAGAAAAAGAGAAAAAAAATCTATTTCTGTATCTCAAATTAAAATGCATTTAGCATGTAAGATTTCCCAAATACATAAATTCTTTTTAAAACAAAAGTCAATTTGAACATATTCAATTTAGGATCACAGCATGGAAGAAGTGATGTGTCCCCTAATATAGTGGAGATGCATCTGGCAGGGGCAGCCTAGGGCAGAGGATTTAAGAGTATGCGGGGGAGTGAGGTGATAAAGGTGGCCCTTCTGGCCACCTTCTCCCCGACCTCATCCAGAGCACCTCCCCTATTGTCTGCTTTATATATTGATTTTATGAACCCGATATATTGTTTGAATAAAAGGTTTCTGATGCTTTTTTGAAAAAGCCATTTAACTAATGATGAGAAGCAAGAGGCCAAGGGAGAGGTGATTTTTTTCCCCAAGGTCACACAAGTGCATCACACAATTCCCAGTAGCCTTGATCCAGGTATCAGGAACCAAATCATATCCGTTGGGGGCTGGGGGCGCTGCCCGGATGGGGCCACCCCTGACTGGGCAGTTGGGATATGTATACTCTGGCTCAACCCCAGCAGCCTCAGGGAAGTCTCCAGGCGCCTTTAAACAACATTCCACTAGGTCAGGAACAGACGGATAACCCAGGCCAATTAAGAACCAGAAAATCTCTAAGAGGGCCAATACCCAGAACAGGGGGGGCTCGGAGCTGCAGCCCAACTCCCTGCAAGCCTCACAGTCGAAAACCTTCCTAAAACAACCCCTTGGCTGCCTTGGAGCATAATTTAATCTTCCTTTGATGACTCCGGATCTTGCCCTGCCTCAGGCCACTGGGAGAACATCAATAACCGCTGAGCCCAGGTGGTAAGTGGAGAGGAGGGGCAGGACCGGCTTAGCCGCTGAGCCTGCCCTGCAGTAGGGGGCAAGAGCTGCGGGCACTTCAGCAGGAGGAACCCAGGCTGAGCGCTGGGGCCGGATGCCTCCTTGGTGGACAAGGGGGCCAGGAAGAGGAGAAGGAGAGCCAGGAAGGTGAGCCCTAAGTGGGCCCCTCCCTAGCCCCAGAGCCAGCAGGATGGGCAGCACCCAGGGGTCCCTGGACATAGGAAAAGACAAGTCAGGCAGGGGTGATGATGGAGACCAGGCTAGGTGACTTTGCTAAGGGAGAAGCAACATAGCACAGTGCCCCATAGACACAGAAAACATTGGCCCTGAGGATCAGAAATGGGCTTAGAGCCATGCTGCCCCTGCCCGGCCACTTTTCCTGACTGGGGGACCCTGGGCAAGTTACTTAACCTCTCCGTTTCCTAATTGATTATGACAAAGAGTAACATGGCTATTGTGAGGGTTCATTGACCCTACAATTGGCTTCTTGTCTTAAATGAAAATATCTGCAGAAGAAAGGGCTAGAAGAACATACCTAAACTCTTCCTGTTCCTGTTTGACTCTCCAGTAAACCGTGTATATTTAGTTTGGTTTGATTTGGCTTGTCTGTATACCCTACATTTTGTGCAAGAAACATGTTATTATATAATTAAAATTATATTCAGAGAAACAAAAAGTATAGAGACTATAGTTGATCCTCAGAAGGAAGCATCCACTTGTGTCCATTGAGAGTAGGATGCAAGGGGTGGCCTGTGGCAGAGTCTCAGGCAGGGGAGACCCTAGTTGTTCCAGGGGGCCAATGTACGGCAGCCCTGGGCCTAAGGACAGATGTCAGGGGCATTTTCTATCTGGATATGTCCTGATACTTCCTGGGAGGCAACCCCCATGCACCTACCTGGGAGGCAGAAATAGGTGATCTGGTAGAGAATGCTGTCTGCTCACAGGCAATAGCTGCTCTCCCATTGGTCGTTCTCAGAACATCAGAGTCAAGGAACCCTGGACCCTGGACTATCAGGGCTCAGGCCAGACCCCTTCCCAGACACTCTATTAGGTGAGTCTGCCTGGGTTGCCCAGCCCTCTTCCAGCCGGCACCCCTGCTACGCTCAGCCACACAGTCCCCCTCCCCCACCCCTACCCCCCACTCCCATCAGCCTTTGCTGAGGCAGCCCTTTCTGGAGAGCTGGGCTCGGTGGGTCCACAGCACTCTCCCTGCCAGTGATGTTAATCCTCCCAAGAAAGTCAAACATTAGCCCAGGAAGCAGCTTATGCCTTATATAAGGCCCCCCTGAGGGAGGCACAAACACCACTTGTTAGAGCTGAGCTGTCCAACCTCAGCAGCTGCTGGACCCTAGGACAGAGCAGGGACCTCGTCTCCATCTACCTCCAGCTCCTCCAAAGCCAGACCCAGCCACCAGGTGAGAAGGGATAGAGGGCCCTCAAGCCCGACACCCAGGACCCCTCCCTACCCCGCAAGGCCAGACCCTACTTTTCCACCATTTCTGGTAGAGTCTCTAGTGCCCTCTGGGACCTACTTGGGTTCTTTCTGATATTCCAGCATGGAGGGTCCTAGCCCCAGGGAACAACCAAAAGTCAGGAGGCTTAGAGCTTAGGCTTGGGGAGGCCCTTCTTAACAGGCAGCCTGGGTCCTCTAGCCTTGTGTGTCTGCCTGAAGCAATCAGGACGTCCCCACCCAACCCCACTATCCATCCTGCATAGCCAATATCCAGCGCTGGTCCTCTTGGTCCTTTCTGTGTGGCCTGCACTGTCCCATACATGCAGCCTGTGTGACCAGTCTAGCTGAGCACACACATTCACCCACAAGTGCACACATACAACACACGCGCTCAGAGTCACCCAGGTGAGCTTTTTATGCTCCAACCTCAATGTACATGTACCTGTAGACACCTCTACGCCCACACACCTGGGCACACGCCCACACCTGATATCCCCCGTCTCTTCATGCACCTGGCTCATCCTTGTACATCCATACGTGAATCTATGCACACACCTGAGCCCCCACATCTTACACACACAAACAGCACCACACACTCGTGTTCACACACACATCTGGGCACGTCCTCATCCACATGCTTCTGCAGTCCTCCCCGGGCTCATGTGCACACATCCACACACACCTCCCCCCCCACCTGTTGCCTTGCCTACAGTTCTGGCTCGTCTTGCCTGGAACCATGACCTTCCCCGAGATTCTGGACCGAGTGGGCAGCATGGGCCCCTTCCAATACCTGCATGTGACCTTGCTCGCCCTCCCAATCCTCGGCATGGCCAACCACAACCTGCTGCAGATCTTCACAGCCACCACCCCTGCCCACCACTGTCGCCCGCCTCCCAACACCTCTGCAGGGCCCTGGGTGCTCCCCATGGGCCCGAATGGGGAGCCTGAGAAGTGCCTCCGTTTCGTACATCTGCCCAACACCAGCCTGCCCAATGACACCCAGGGGGCCACCGAGCCGTGCCTGGACGGCTGGGTCTACAACACCACCAGGGACACCATTGTGACAGAGGTATGCCTGGCACCCCCTCTCCCTCAACTTACCTCAGGGACCCCATGTACCCTTACCGCTCGTGGACAGGAGAGAAAGCTGGGGGCCTAGTTTGCTTAGGGTTCCAGGACAGGATGCTGGGCTGGCAAAGAGCAAGGAGCTGGTATAGATGCAGCCAACCAAGAGGGCTGGTTTCTTCACTCAGAGGCCAACTTTTCTTCAACAGATGTTGAGAGCCTATTCTTTGGACAGCACAGTGCTGAGCTCTTGGGATACATAAATGCACTGTCCCTGCTCCTGAGGGGTCTATATCCCAGTGGGGGTAGAAACAATTAGTACTTCTTCAAAGTACTTTGGCTCTGACCTTAGACGGTGACCTGGCTCTGGGCTGTGTGTGGGGGCAGGTGGGGATGGGCATTGGAGGAAGTGATCCTGGAGCTGAGACAGGAATGGTTGACCAGACCCTGAGGGGAAGGAGGAAGATTCCATCTGTGCAGAGGTCCCAAGGTGGGAGGGGTGTGGAAGAGGATCTCACGGAGCAAAGGGTTGGAATGCTCCTGAGCAGACCCAAGAAACATCCCATCCACCCGCACAGGCACCCATGGGTTTGCCTCCCGGCACTCATTCCTCCATGGGTTTTGCTGACTTTCTCATCTGCCATGTCCAGGAACTACAGAGTTAAATCAGACTCTTCAATGAACTGACAGGCCAGTCAGGGGACCGTGATAAGATGAAGATGAGGAAAAGGGAGTTGCCGTTTACTGAACATTTACTAACTGCCAGGCGCATTTTGGTGCTTTGCAGACATTGTCTCATTTGATTCTAGCAATGATCCTCTGTTAAGGGTGATTTCTATCTCCCTTAACAGATTTAACACACACACACACACACACACACACACACACACACACACATGATTCAGAGAAGGAAAGTGATTGTTCAATGCCACACAACCAGCTTGTTTCAGAACTGGAATTTAAAGCAAAAGCCCATAAGAGGTCCAGGGGTTTATGAGAGTTCAGTGAGGGCAAAACCATAGGATTCAAGGGATGCTTCATGGAGGGGGTGGAATCTGAGTAGAAGTCCCTCAAAGTCAGGATCCAGATTTTTGCCTCTGTAGAAGTACCTTGCAAAAGCCTAGTTCCACCCTACAGATGTGGACTCTTGGAATCCCAGGAGATGTAGCCTCTTCAAGGAAAATATTATTATCTCCAGTTCACAGATGAGGAAACAGGTTCAGCCTGACTCCCTGACTTTCCTTTGCTGGCAGAGGGAAGTACTAGATTTGAATCCAATACTCTTTACATTCAGAGTCTCTGTATTATAATTCCTTTGCTTAATAAAAAATTTTTTGGTACCATGTATTGAACACAGGGGTGCTTAAACACTGAGTCATACCCTCAAACCTCTTTTTACTTTGAGAGAGGGTCTGACTAAGTTGCTTAGGGCCTTGCTAAGTTGCTGAGGCTGGTTTTGAACTTGAGATCCTCCTGCCTCAGCCTCCCGAGCCACTGGGATTATAGGCATGCACTACCATGCCCAGCTAAATATTTATTTATTTATAAAGTACTTACTGTGTGCCAGACACTATTCTAAGCACTTTACAAATATTAATACTTTTAATCTTCTTGACAACACTATAGGATAGTTAGTATTCTAACCCATTTTTCAGATGGGGAAACTGAGGCATGGGGAGGTTAAGTAGCTTGCTCAAGGTTGCATCGCCAGTAAGTGGCAGACTGAGGTCCTGCACTCGGGCACCTGGGCCCAGAGCTGTGCTTCTGACCATTGCGTTAGCTGCTCTCAGAGCCCCTAGATTACATTTATTCCTGCTATGTTCACTTTTCCTCCCCAGCATCAAGCATAGCTCCTGAAATGCACCAAATATCCAAAAACACTTAGGAACAACACCTAGTGCTGAATACTGAGGCAGCCCCGCCGGCTCTCCAGGAGCCCACCTCCAGTGGGGACAGGTTCTCACCCCTTACGGGTAGTTTTGTGGGACATGCATGCTTCCGCGGCAGGGACTTTCAGCTGCTTCGCTCACCGCTGTATCTCTAACACCTGGAATAATGCCTGGCACAGAGGAGGTGCTCTGTGGAATAAATATTTGTGGAATGAATGAATATGTGCTTTGTAAACTCAGAGGGCTCTGGGAGCCCAGAGGAGAGGTTTCTATCCAGCCCAGAAGGGGGATTTCAGAGGGCTTGCTGGCATCAACAGTGCCTGCCCTGAGGAGAGGACAGAGTTAGGGGGCAGGCTGAAGTGGGCAAGTACATGCTAGGCACAAGGCACAGTGTCGGGGGTCATATGCAAAGTCACAGATGCATGGAGAATGCAACACAGTCAGGATTGCAAGTGCTGGGAGCAAGCGGTGGGAATACGGAGGCCCGTGGACATAGGACAAGGAAGGGCTGTAGAAAGGACCTCTGTATGTAACAAGGGCAATAGGGGGCCACTGAGAGTGGTGTTGCTAAGTAGGAGAGTGGCATGCCCAAACCTCCTTCTAAGAATTGTCACGTTGACTACACATCAGAGAGTGATTTGTAGTCCATTTTAGTCAAGCAGCAGGGTGACACATTAGCAAGTTGCACAGGAATTCAGGAAAGAGGTGACAGAAGGAATGGTTGAGACTGAAGCGAGAGAGGTTGGGAGTTGGAATCAGTGGGACCTGATCACTGAGTGGATGTGAGGGTGAGGAGCAGGAAGGAGCTGAAGATATGCCTGTAAGTTTCCTATGTGACTTGCTGTAAGTTTCCCTGGATGACTTGCTGTGCATCTGGGAAGACAAAGAGAAGGAGTAGTCATCATCCCTGTCCTCAAAAAACATGACCTAGCAAAGAAACAAAAAACCTACGGGGAACAGTTAAGTAGCACCATCACTAACATTTCCTGCATGCTCACCCGGTGCCACACAGGATGCATGGTCCCCAGCCCACAATCTGTGAGATCAACCACACTCACTGAACCCCAAGAGGGTGCTGGGTGAACAGACTACCCAAAGATCAGCTCCCCACCACACTTTGCAGCGGCTCCTCCAGGTCAAGGAGTCTTTGCCGCCCATCTTTGTCATCGCAGTTCTGGATGTGTAAATAGTGCTCAGTCAGTGCTCAATGAAGGACCTGCTCCCTCGCATAGCGGGATGCGGACACTGTTGGGAAGTGGCTTCCTTTCCAGGTCATGCCCCTGGCAGGTTCCTTGGCAGGGAAGCCTCATGAAGAACAGAGGTTGAAGACCTTGTACTCAGTCAAGTATCAATTCATTCTGTGCCAGCCAAGTTCCCAGTCACTGTTCCAGTGACTAGACCAGTGTAGATCTACATCCCAAAGAGGTGCAGGGGTCCCAGTCCTCAGGGTACTGCATCTTTCTCCAGCTCAGATCTCATTTAGCTCTGTATCAGAATCTAACTCCCTAGGGACTCTCTATGAGATCTCACTGGACAAGTCCAAATGTCCAGACCCAGCCAGCTGCTGGTATCTACACAGCAACGCCAGAGCCCTCTAATTTTTCTGTTCATTCAGCCACAAACATGAATGGGACTCCATCTGCTTGGGGTGGGGCAAAATGCAGTTCTGGCCCCCATGTGATAGAGGTAGAGCAGTAGCTGGATCTTACCTAGAGATGGATCCTAGCTCGGAGGCAGGGGACTGGATGCGGAGGGTAATGAAGAAGGCAGAGTTATTTGATAATGAGAGAGCTTGGTTCAGGTGACCCGATGAGCTTGGGATTGTCGAGTAAAGTCAGGCAACCAGAAATCACCTGACTCTACTGCCTATGAGGAATGTCACAATTCCAAAAAGTCTTGGTTTCCTCATCCACGAAAAGGAACAAGAAAGCAAGTGTGGAGATTAAAGGAAATAACCAAGAACAGCACTCAGCACAGGGCCTGGTGCCTGCAAAACATTCCATCAATGTCAGCGGCTGTTGCTGCTCTGTGGATGTTGATAGCGGAGATGTCTGAAAACAAGAGGATTCATCCCCACAGATGGTAGGGAGATCTTCCGGTAAAAAGGGGAGTCTTCTGTCTCAGCACTTCGTGGCTCACCCAGGTTCCCAGATTTGGCCAATCTTGATGACCCCCCTAGAGCTCCTCAGGTGGACCTGGTGGGTCACCTCCCCTCATTCAGTCCCCTCATCTGTAGAATGGAGTGAGAGGACTGAGCTGGTGGAGAGGGCTGGCCCAGCATGGGGTCTGGACAGGGGAATGGAGGTGGCCTCCCTCCCCCTTCTGATCCCCTAAGCTTTCCTGGCAGGGGTAACCACGAATTCCTTTCTCTTGGTGCTGCAGAGACCAGAGACGAGGTCAGGATTTTTCAGAAGGAGCTTTACTGGGACATTAAGAGGAAACAAAGCCCTTTCTATTATGTCTGGAAAGCATGGAAGCCTACATGCTGGGCCCTGGGTTCCCTGGAGCAGAGTGTAGCCCACAGCCCCACCCCATGGAACCTCAGCCCTGTGACCCTGGGGCCTGGGCCTGGATTTGCATGAGTAAGATGCAGTCCTTTAAAGCCCCCAAGATTCCTTTCTGGGCCTTGAGTTTCCCTATCCTACCTCCAGGGCCACGAGAAGCCCATCCCCAGCATATCAGTGAGTCACTGGAGGCCCGGTCACTGCTAGAGAAGGAAGGAGCCTGCTCAAGAGGTCTCCTAGAAGTAGGTCTGTACCCTGGAGGTTCCCCTGCGGAATCCCCAGTCAGCCACTTCTGACTTCTCTCCATCCCCATCACCAAATCCCCAGGCTGCCCAGCTCCAGGGCACTGATCCATCTCGTCTCCAGCCCCATTCCAGCTTCTGTCCCTACTGGTGGCCCTCAGCCCCGCCCCAGGTACCACTCCCTTTCACCTCTTTCCTAACCTCCCATCCGAATCCTGGGTGGGGACCCGGGAGCCTCACCCTGACCACCTTCCTGGCAGCATGACTCCCAGTGACATCCCTGATCTAGAAAGTCCCTGATCCCATGCACAGGAGTCAGATCTCCAGGGTCAAGAACTCACTCAAAGCTACTGAGCTATAGCTTTGCAT